TTGTAGTGTAATCCTCTCTATTGCCTTAACATGCTTTGTCCTTTAAGCTATGGTTTTAGCATGATTTTGGCTCGACCCAAATGAGGTTTTGTTCATATTTCAGCATGTTGAAGCTCTGTTTCATGTTGTTTTGATCACACATGCATTGCTTTTTATAGCTACCATACATTCTAGTTTGTTAGCTTTGAGGGTCCAAGTCATTAGCATGCACTACTTGGACCTTTTTCATGATTTGACATCATCTCATATGTAATTTCAGTTCATGTAGTGTAGCCATATACTTGCATTTGTCATCCTTTCAAAGTTTTGAAGAGTTGGTGTTTTATGCCTCATGATTGGATCATTGTGCATACCATCATATTTAGGCCTTTGAGATGCCATCTAAGTGGGTTTTTTGGCTTATTTTGACATGCCATATCTCTATTTTTCATTGGTTAAGTCATGCCATGTTGGTTATAATGGGTGTAGTGCAATCTCCTTTGTTGGCCTTACTTGCATCTTGCCTTAGGCCCTTTATGTTGGCTTGTTTCAGCTTTGGCCCTTGCATGTTTTAGACTCCCTTTAGCATGATCTAGGACTGTTTTGGTTGTCCTTGGCTCTTTGGGGCTTAATTCATGTAGGCATGGTACAAGCTCCTTGGCTAGCCTTAAGCCTTGAGCTTTCTTGCATGTCATACTTGCTTTGATTCGTTGATTTGGCATCACTCCTCGCATCATTTCAGAGCATGTAGTATTGTCATACATCCATGCTTGTCACTCTTTAGGTGTGCTTAAGAGTTGCATCTTTATGCTTTAGTTTTTGGGCCAATTGGCATGCATGTTTGCCATGCCTTTTTCATGCTTCATTTCCATCATTTCTTGGCATTTTGGCCACTGATTTTGGGCATGGCTGAGGTCTGTCCGTCTTTAGTTTAAGTCCATTTGCCATGTTGTTCAAAGTTGCTACTTTACATCATGCTTGTATGTTTGTCCATCTTTGCATGTTCGTAGGATTATGGTTGCATTTTGCATGCTTGTTAGCTTGCATTTTATCACATGCTTGTTTAGGTCGCATTGCATTTGGCATGCTTGTTACCTTAGCCTTGTGTACATGTTTGAGTCATATTGCATTTGGTATGCTTATGATGCATTATATAGTTTTTCTATTGTTGCATACATTGCATTATGTTTGGTTTGGGGTGTCAAACCAAACATGAGGAATGAGGGACGTTTTGTATTTGAAGTGACGAAACGTGCCTCAATCCTTAGTCGTCGGCATTCTTGATCCAACATGATAGAGTGCGAGGCATTAATTTGTTTTGGCATTCATTCTATATTGATGGTTGCACACTTGGCTCCTTTGGCCATCATGCATCGAAATGCGTGATTGATGGCCCGAGGGTCGATAACTATATACCTTTTAGCCTTAAACATGATAAGGGGTGTAGTTGCAAACATTATCTTGTAAATGCATTGCCATGCTCTATTTGCCCTCTGTTGCAGCAAAGGAGCAGTCCACAGGAAGGAATAGCCGATCGACTATATTCAGTGCCGATCGACTAACAGTGTTTGGCCGATAGCCTTATATTTGGTTGATGACCATTATCCACTGGTCGATGGCCACCCCTCTTGGCCGATGACCTCTCAGAGTGTCCATGAGGTGGTTCAGAAACATCACAGAAGTTGGCACAGTTTTCAGAGGTATATAATAGTGCAAACAGAGGCAACATGAGGCATGGCAATAGATTTTCGAGAGAAGCCAACCGAGCGCACATGCATCCCTCGTCACGAGGCCATTTCAGTGCTTTTGATAGCTTAGAATAGTTATTTATTTCAGTTAAGGTTTTGTAATAATTAATTAGTTAGGGTAGTTAATTAATTAGTTGATTTGTATTATTTATTCGGACCCTCCGTTGAGAGGGCAAATTTTGTAATAAGTGTGCGTGAGTGTGTAAATGTCTTTCAACCTCACATCTTTCTCCCTTTTACTTACCTGCTTTCAGTGGTTAGTTCTAGATCATATTTCAATTTAGCATCCTTATGCTATGCATGTTTGCATCATTCATCTGTATTGCATGCACCGGGTTCAGCGCATCATACTAATTGTATTGCATTTCAGTTCCTACTTGAATACATGATTATCAAGTTGTATCTCATATGACATCTTAGAATAGCTGAGCCTATTTCTAGTTGCATTAGCCATCTTAACATAAGCTAGGATCTTGCATTGATTTCTAACTAGCTATTGTTTTGACTCGGAGTACACTGTAAGTGTTTACGCTTTAGCATCTCGCATGTGTGTGAGTGTTAACATGACAGCATGCTTGCCATGAGGCTAATTGTTTATGTGATATAACTGCCTGAATGCCTGTGGGTGGAGGTTGGATTACTTGAATTGGAACGATTCATTGAAATCCATATTTTAGCCTACTTGCGAGTAGCAAATTTCGAACCATTTCCAAACAAACGGATATGCGATGCTTTGTTCCAAATTAGGCGATCTAGTATATACTTGTGTGTTGTGCGCATCACATAGTTATTCTAACTAATTAACCAAAATAAGAACGCATGTGTTTTCAAAAATAAGATATCATGCTTAGTACAGGCCGATCTTTGATCGGGTGAGCGGGGGTGCTCATTACATGACCTTCCCCTCTCGTACCCAAGTTCCCGAGCCGAGACAACTTTGGTGATGATAGACATGTGGCCTTAGGCAACGAGTCAGGGTTTCCTAAATTTTTCCAAAAATAAAACATTTAGGTGGCAACTCTGTATCTGGCAAAGCAGTCCATGTTTTACACTTCTTTATAAAAAAATCAGTTTTTCAAAACGATTTGACGGATTTTGACTATTTGGTAATTTATCGGTCTTGCATTGCAATTTACAAGATTAAATTCAGAACCGTGACATTGAGTCCGAACTGTAGCAGCCCAATGAACAAAACGGGATTTTCCCGATACGTCCAGGGGCGTGTTAGCTTAAGAAAATAGTGAGTAAATTATGTCAATTTTTTTATTTTACCAAGTGCACTTATTTATTTTAATATTTGTTTTAAAATTTTATAATATTGAAATAATTTATTTATTTATTTTATATATAAATAATTTTATCTATCATACTATCATTAAAAAAAATATATTTTTATTTAATTTATTCATTAATAATTTATTTATTAACCATTACCAATAATCTCGTATAAGGTAATTTATTTATTAATAATTTAATATTAACCGTTATCTTACTAATAAAGTAATTTATTTATTAATAATTTATTCATTAACCGTTATAATACTAATAAAGTAATTTATTTATTAATAATTTATTCATTAACCGTTATAATACTAATAAAGTAATTTATTTATTAATAATTTATTCATTAACCGTTATAATACTAATAAAGTAATTTATTTATTAATAATTTATTCCCACACAGACACAAGTAGAGAGAGAGAGAGACGGTGCCCCAGTGAGGTTTCTGCACCGAACTCCTAGTTACCGATCAACCTTCATCTATATCTATATACACTCACAGCTTTCAATAGCTCTGGAGCAATCGATGTGTGCGAGATTGGGCTAGGGTTTTGAGGGGTGACATGGCGAGCACATCGCAATCGATTCGTTTCAGCGGCCCGGGAACCGGTTCCGGCGCCGGAAACCTAGATGCGCTTAACCGGGTCCTCGCTGACCTATGCACCAGAACCAACTATCCCAAGGTTAGTATTATTTTCCCCATTCTACTTTCGATTGCTGAGACGAAAAACAGCAAATGGAAATTATTGACCTCCGGAATCTTGTGAAACTTTCCTATTGTAATTGCTGAGTTGAGTTTTACGCTTTGTTTGGTTAAAAAGTTTAAATTCGGTTGGTTATATGTGTAGTTTTAGTAATTTCATTGGCAGTTGGGAATGAATTTCAATAGAATTGGGTGTTTGTTTTGATTATGCTGGAAGCTTAGTTATGGTCACCAAGTAGAATTTTGACAAAAGGTAATACCCGTTTTCTCATAAGCTAGAGTTTGATTTATTCTGGAAGCTTAGTTATGCTCACAAAGTAGAATTTAAATGAAAGATAAATACCCATTTTCTCATAAGTTGAGGGAAAGGTGAATTGACTGTTGTGCTTGCTAAGGTGGCAATTCAAATGCCTTTCAGTTCATTGAATTGAAGTCCAATCGGAAATATGACCTCTAGGAATTTTACCACATTCCATAAGCTGTAGTTAACCAAGTAAAACAAAAAAAAACCCCCAAAACACTCAGTTGATATCCATAATAATGCATGCGGTTTTTCTCATTCACCGTTATTTGCAGATGACTAACTGTACCCCTTTTATGTAGATTTCAAATAGTTATGTTTTTATTCTTCCGTGCACATTTGACAAATAACCGAGATCATGACATACCAAGGACAATCTTAACTATTATGTTTGGATTTTTTTTTTTTTTGGGTTGCCAACTTTGTTATCTCGTCTGTCATCTTCAACTCTGCTCATGTATAAAATGACTTGAAATGTAATCGGCTGAGTTCCTCAAAGTATATTATTTTTCGTTTTTGATTTCGGGCGTCGTTATTGGGTGAATGTTGGTGGGGTGGGGGCCATATATGAAGGTGGAATTGGATGGTTCCATTCAAATCCTTTGAAACTGCTTGTTTGTTTGTACTTTTGGTTTGTTCCACACTTATGTAATTTGTTGTATTGCTGTCTGAATTGTAGGATGGTGCTGCATTAGCTTTAAAGAAACATGTGGACGAAGAAGCCCGAGATCTTAGTGGAGAAGCATTTTTTCGTTTTATGGATCAGTTATATGATCGTATTACCAGTCTGTTAGAGAGTAATGATGTTGCTGAAAATTTGGGAGCATTAAGGGCAATTGATGAGTTGACAGATCTGTCACTTGGTGAGAATTCCTCCAAGGTTTCAAGGTTCTCTAATTACATGCGAAGTGTGTTTGAGGTGAAGCGTGATCGTGACATTTTAATCCTTGCTAGTCAAGTTCTTGGCCATCTAGCCAGGTTTGGTGGGGCAATGACAGCAGATGAAGTGGAATGGCAGGTGTGTATTTTTTCCCCTTGAACTCTTTGTATCTTTTCCTTTTAATATTTAACGATTTTTTTCATGTTGCTGATCCAAAATATGATAAAAAAGAAAAAAAAAAAAAAGTGCAGGTGTGTTGCATTATTCCTTCATTAATTGCATGGTAGTCTGGGATCTATGAGGATCTAATTTCTGCTGGTTTCCTAGGTGAAAAATGCACTGGAGTGGCTTCATGGTGAAAGAGTTGAGTATCGTCGTTTTGCTGCTGTCTTGATCTTGAAAGTAAGTGTAATGTTTTTGCTGTTATAGACAGTTATTTGCTTAGTATTTATCAAAGTTTAGAGGATTTACTTAAACAAACATAATAATAAATTGGTGAAATTGATTTAGTTTTTAGTTTGCTCATTCTTGTGTTAAATCCTGCTTCCATATCACGATGGTTGACTTATTTATACAGAGCAATGACCGTTCTTGACTTTCTTTGTTCCTTAATCAGCATTTGTTACTTTTAGCCTAATGCAAAACATACTCTCTTTTTTTATCTATTTGTTTGTCTATCCTGCCACCTTATTTCAACTAGAAGTTTGCATCGTAAGTAATTTTTGGTTGCTTCTTTTTTATTGCACAGTTTGTGTTTGAGACTTTTAAAGGCAGAATATTTGCTTAGACTCCCAACCCAAACTATATCAGTTTCATTTTCGATGTTAGTTGTCTTTAAGAAATATTCTTCATTCAGATTTTGATGAATCCCTTTTTACTGAGGATACTGTTCTATTTTTCGCTTTGTTGCAGGAAATGGCTGAAAATGCTTCAACTGTCTTCAATGTACATGTACCTGAATTTGTGGATGCTATATGGGTTGCATTGAGGGATCCAACACTAGCTGTTCGAGAGCAGGCTGTAGAGGCATTGCGTGCTTGCCTGCGTGTCATTGAGAAGCGTGAAACGCGTTGGCGTGTGCAATGGTTAGTTTGGATGCAAACCTTTTAAATTTAGTTGGTAAAAAATGATGAGAAAAATTGTCCGGTTGTAAGAATACTAGGGTGTCTTCCTAGGCCTTATTGATTAGGCAGGTTGTGGTCTTTTGTTGTTGAGTTCAGATGGTTTTTAATTTTAGTTTGTTATTTAACACTAATGCGGTGGCGAAGGTTTTAATTATTTATTGGATCCTTGGTTATTATGAATAAGGTAATTATTGGGCCTTGGTTCTAAATTGCCGTTGTTTGGTTTGCCCTGTATATAAAAATCAAATGAATATCAATATGATTTTTCAGTACTCTTCTAGTAATGCCCTTGCTATTGGATTTGTTATGGTATTTAGATATCTGTTTGTGATGAAATCAAATCTAGGAAACAAATTTCGTTAGAGAGAGTAATGTTCAAATTGGGACAAAGAGCACTAAGCTTAGAAAATATGATTTTAACATATCATAAAATTGACTACTACAGGCCCTAACCTCTTATTTATAGGCTAAAGGCCGACTAAGCTGCCCAAAACACAATAACCATTCTAAATCCTATTACATCAATTAGGGTCTGATACCAAATTGATGTTGCATGTAAGAGGGGAAGGAGAGAGGAAAGAAAGCACACAGAAGCCACAACCTTAAACACTCTCAATTTTATTAATCAACTTTGAATAATATAATGCAAAGCCTATTTATAGGCTATTAACCCTAATTAAAATACTAAACTAAATTATAATAATATTAGGAAATATAATAAAAAAATCCTAACAAAAAATTATATAAATTTTAAATAAATATTAATAATAATAAAAAATACTCATCACATTTATTAGACCCTAAAGTCTTCATTTTACATGCAATGGACCCTTGGGCTGCACCTTAGGCTTCCAAAGCAGATGGGTATTATCGAACCAATTAAGGGCTGCCCATCAATTAGTTTTACCATTGTTTTTTAAAGTGGATCTACATAATTTTTCCCTAGCAGTTAAAAGTTTGTAATGCTTGTTGGGCATAGTTTTATTTTATTTAGTTAATTCATCTGGACCTTTTGCTTTTTCTCTTGTGCTTTTGACAGGTACTACCGTATGTTTGAGGCTACACAAGATGGGTTAGGTAGAAATGCCCCTATTCACAGCATACATGGTTCTCTACTTGCAGTTGGCGAGCTCTTGAGGTTGGTTGAGTTGTTGATTATTTTAATGTATAATGGTTTTACTGCTTGATTTTTCCTTAAATTCTTTCTTGCAAATATTTCAGATTACTTATATGTCTTATGCTATGTTACATGGACTCAGGTATGGGTGTCGGGTGTGGGTATGTATCTAAAGACTCATCAAACCATAAATTTAAGGTTACTCGGACTTAGCAAAAAAATGTCATATTTTTAATCAAAGTATGTGAGATAAAAAGGTGTTGTATGCAACTTACAGTGTCAAAAAGGTATTTATAGAAATTATACAACAATATGTATATATAATAATAGTGTTATATACAATTATATAAGAAGTATCCGTTGAAAAGTATCCGACACATATCCCATACCCTTGTCTGAGTGTCGGGTGTCCGACATGGGTATTTGATTTATTTTGAAGAGTCCGTGTAACATAGGTCTTATGAACCCCTTCCATGATTATTCCATTCATTGGTATTACTTCAAGTTAAACAGCTACGGGCCTACAATGCTTGCACATTTTATTTGAACATTTGTGACAGTTAGCACAAAGCTGAGTGAGATTCTTTTTGTAGTTGCTTTTAATGATTCTCCCTTGTAGGTTTTAAACTTGGTCTTGTACACAGAATGGATCTTTGTACTAAAGTTTGGATCATAACAAGCATGGGACCCAGAAGTTTGACTTAGGTTTAAGCTCTTGTTGGCTAGATGTGGAAACATTTTATGGAAGCTATAGAATTGTGTTACTGACATATGACCAAGATTAAGTTACCTGTTACTAGTTGCCTATGGTGACAGATTTATCCTTGGTGAGAGTAAGGGGACGTGTGGATTTAATTAGCAAAGAGGGGGAGTCTACTAGAGGAGGAGACAAATAGGGCTAGGGGAAGTTGTAGGAGGAGAGGTGTTAGGGAGCTAAAAGGTTAATTATAAGTGACTTCAAAAGAAAGAAAGGGGTGGTGTTGTTTTTCAATGAAGATTTTAAGTTGGAATGTGAGGGGTTTGTGGTATAGGAAAAAAAGAGGGTAATAAAAGATTTCTTGTGAGTACATCAATCGGATATTTTCATGCTTCAAGAATCAAAAGTCAAGGAGTGTGATAGGTTGCTCATTAAGAGTATTTGGGGATCTAGGTTTAGGAGATGAGTGTCTCTTCCGTGTTGTTTTTCAATGAAGATTTTAAGTTGGAATGTGAGGGGTTTGTGGTACAGGAAAAAAAGAGGGGTAATAAAAGATTTCTTGTGAGTATATCAATCGGATATTTTCATGCTTCAAGAATCAAAAGTTAAGGAGTGTAATAGGTTGCTCATTAAGAGTATTTGGGGATCTAGGTTTAGGAGATGAGTGTCTCTTTCGTCTTGTGGCTCAATGAAGATTTTAAGTTGGAATGTGAGGGGTTTGTGTGAATTTGATTATATGGGATGAGAGGGTATTTTAGAATGCAAGACAATTTTGGGGAAGTTTTCATTATCCATTAGGTTTAGGAACCTTCATAATGAGCGGTGGTTGATTGGAGTTTGTGTCCCAAATGGATCTGGTAGGAGGGAGGATTGATGGGAGGAATTAGCGAGTCTCTTTGGGATGTGTTCTCCAAATTGGTGTGTTAAGGAGTTTGGGGGGGGGGGGGATTTTAATGTTGTTCGGTTAATGCCAGAAAAACTTAATGGGTTTGGAACAGACAAAGGCATGAGGAACTTTGATTCCTTTATTAGAGATTATTGTGTAGTTGATTTTACTATGTTTAACGCTAGATTCAAGTGGTCAAACCTTTAGGAAAATCGGGTATGTCTTAGATTGAATCTTTTTTTGTTCTCTCTAGGTTTGGGAGGAGATTTTCCCAAATGTGAGACGAGGCACTTCCAAGATTAGTTTCTGGTCATTGTCCAATTGTTAGCAAGAGTTGCCCTTTCAAGTGGGGTCCATCACCTTTTAGGTTTGAGAATATGTGGTTGGAGCATTATTTCTTTAGAGAAAGTTTCAGAGTGTGGTGGAGTAACTATCTTTGCCAAGGATGGGAGGGCTTTGTTTATGAAGAAATTGAAGCTGATTAAAGAGAAAGTGAAGGAGTGGAATGGGGTGCTTTTTGGCTACTTGAAGGAGGAAAAAAGTGAAATCATTCAAATGGTTAGCGGGTTTAGCTCTTACATTCTTTAGGGGAGTTCACATGCTAGTCCTTCAATAAAATCATTGATAATTCGAATTTGCCTTCTTTCCCCCTTCACAAAAATTTTGGAAATCTTTTGTGCCGCTTGAGGTGTGATTTTTATGTGGTTGTTAGCTCACGGAGGCATCTTGACGAATGCTATCTTTCAAAAGAGGAGACCTAAGCGATCTCTTTGTCTTCAATGGTGTGTTGTGTGTAAGAAAGGTGAGGAGTCTTTGAATTGACTTTCCTTACATTGCCCTGTGGCGTTGAGATTATGGCATTGACTTTTCCGGTTGATGGATTTATTGTGGGTGGCTGCGATTGGAAGTATTCATTCGCTTTTTATTGACTTTCGGGGATTTGATGGCCGGAAAAGAACAAAAGCATTGTGGCTCTGTGTGGTTTATGCAATATTTTGGATTATTTGGACGGAAAGGAACGCTAGGATTTTTGAAGATAAATATGGGAATGTGGGATAAAAATTTGCAGCTTGTCATCCTTTTCGGCCTTGGTGTCCCCTCCATGTAAAGGGGTTCCACTTTTTTTGATATCAAAAGATTGGAAGGCTGTGTGTGATTCATAGATCTTCTTTTCTGTTTTGTGGTTGATTCCAGATTATATTGTTTGTTATGTTTAATGTTAGAGGACCTCTTTTACTCTCTCTTTTTATTTTAATAAAATCCCTTTGTTGCTGAGCCAAGGGAAAAAAAAAAAAAAAAAAAAGAAGAAAAGAAATTAGTTTTGATAGATCTGTATAAGTAGCTAGTTCAAGGGGAGTTTTATTTTGACCTACCTTTTCTTGGTGTAGGTCCGCATGGAGTTGAGCTTGTTTTTGTTTAAATATTGGGTGTTTAGCATTTGACTCTAGGTCTTTATTCCTTGTCATGGTCAATTTTCCTTTGTTGTTCGTTTCCCCACTTTCCTAGAAATTTATGTGGTGCTTCCTGCTTGTTGGATGTCTAGTCATTTTATATGAAGCCCGTTTATTCAGGATTTATCTTCTCCATTTTAATATATTTTTAGTAGAGCAGTTACTTTTGAACGGATGAAATTAGTTTTTTTCATTTATTTTCTTCTTTCGAATATTTATTCAAAAAGTCCACCCATTGCTGCTATTGTTACTTTGTTCTTGTAAATACTAAAGAATAATAGGTATTAGTTATGGAGTTCCATCCTTCCATGTATAGTACTTGTATGGCAATGACTTTATTGACCTGCCATTGTGCCTTTACTTCTCTATCATATGGTTCCCTCTCTCGTCTGCTGTATTCTCAACCTGTTGAGGAAAGGCATCATGAGAAGTACCATGTGTTTCTGACGTAAAGTTACTGTGTGCTTCTTGGGTTTATGTTAGTGAAATTGTTTCATTTGATTGTACCAACAACAATAGTTCTACACACATAGGCACCTTTGTAAAATAGTTGATTTGAATATTCTAGTATATTGTGCATCTTTAAGTGTTTGGACCTTCCTGTCACTTGCTGTTCAGTGACTTCTGTTGATTTATAATTCGTATTGAGGATAATTGAGTTCCACATTGGCAGGAATACGGGTGAGTTCATGATGTCGAGGTACAGGGAAGTTGCAGAAATTGTTCTCAGATACCTAGAGCATAGGGATCGGCTTGTTCGCCTCAGCATAACTTCACTGTTACCTCGCATTGCTCATTTCTTGCGTGATCGTTTTGTTACAAACTATCTAGCGGTTTGTGAGCTTTGCTTTTGGTTTTACAATGCTATTGGCTGCTCCCATCTTATGCTAATGAAAAATGGTTTTTCTTGTACAGATATGCATGGATCATTTTTTCGCAGTTCTTAAAACACCTGCCGAACGTGCCAGTGGATTTGTTGCTCTTGGCGAGATGGCTGGTGCTTTGGATGGTGAACTTGTCCACTACTTGCCGACAATAACAGCTCACTTGCGCGATGCGGTATGTTGTTTTTGCCATTAGTTAGCACTGGTCTTCTTGCCAAAATTCTGATCTCCTTCCTGAATCATCGTGGTGCACTTTTTTTGTTTTGTTTTGTTTGTGTGTGTGTTTTATATATTTATTTCTATGCATTCATTTGCTAGGAAATAAAATTTCTGACAAATTGGCATGTTTTCTATTTTGTAGATTGCGCCTCGTAGAGGGAAACCCTCACTTGAGGCTTTGTCGTGTGTTGGAAGCATAGCAAAAGCCATGGGGTCTGCTATGGAACCTCATGTTCGTGGTCTTTTGGATGCTATGTTTTCTGCTGGTCTTTCCACTACTCTAGTAGAAGCTCTTGAGAAAATAACCGTCAGGTGGACTGAAATATTTAGAAACACTTCTGTTAGGCATTTCTGGAGGATTTTTATTTATTTATTATTATTACTTTTTGTTTCCCTATGATAATGGTGGATATTTCAGTACCCCTTCTTTGCTGCCTAGTATTCAAGATCAGTTGCTGGATTGCATTTTGGGAGTTCTTTCAAAATCTTATGCCCAGGCAAGGCCACCTGTTGTTGCCCAGAATCGAGGAAATGTGACGAATACCCTTCAGCAAGTAGCAGAACTTAGTGGTTCTTCTCTAGTGCAACTTTCTTTGCAAACTCTTGCATGTTTTAATTTCAAGGTTTGTTTGCTTGTCCTTTGTAATATGCTGGCTGTTTTTTATAGTCATTATATTGTGAAGCTATTATTTGTTCTAGGGACACGATCTTCTTGAGTCTGCGAGGGATATTGTTGTAGTATATTTGGAAGATGAGGACGGAGCTATAAGAAAGGATGCTGCCTTGTGTTGCTGCGTATTGGTGGCAAATTCCTTCTCTGGCATGGCTTGTGCACGATTTAGGTCCAGTCGCACTGGGGGAAAGCGACAACGTCTTGTTGAAGAGGTGTGATTTTAAGTTATCTATTCTTTTGTAATAAAATTGCTGACAATTTTAGTTTCCTTTGGGTGGTGTTGGCTTTCTCTGAGTTACTAAAATGATCTTTTTAATAATATAAAAAACATTAATAATGTGGGGTGGAAACGATTTTTCAAATAGACATACTTTGGCTTACAATTATTTGTTGGCCCATAAACAACCTCTAGAACTGGGGTAAGGCTGCGTACATTTTGTCCTCCCTAGACCCCACTTTAGCGGGAGCCTCATGCACGAGGTTGCCTTTTGTTTATTAATTGAGTATTGCTGCTTTGAATGGACTAATCAAAGGAAGATGAAATGATATTTCTATTAAACATACTTCTGTTGTTGGTTGAAAGTTCTCATGCCAATTATGTGATGTTGGGATCACAATTTGACTGAGTGATGGTGTCTTTATGCTGTTTTCTTCCTACGGTATTGGGCTTATTGGCCTTCTGATAGTGGAGAACTATATTAGCTAAGTTTACAGCTTGTGGTTCAATATGTTTTTGGAAGTGCTTACTAGCTCCTTTATTATTTGCTAGTGCAAATGACACAATGGTCAACTTCTCATCTGAGGTCATATGATTGAATTGTGGCTTGATGTTTCGTTTAGACGGCAAATTTTGGTTGGCCAAAACTGGGAATGGTTTTACAACCTCGTGGGAGCTGTGTGATTATATGAATTCTAAGAATCACTTGGAGATACCTAGAATAGTGATAAGGTTTTTATTTAGTGCATAATGTCTCAAACTACGTATCCTCTCTTGAATCCTTGGTAAATGTTTGGGTATTGACTTAAGTGTAGATTGCTGGTAATAACAAAACATGTCATCAATTAATGATTCTTGCTTGCTACGAGTAGCGTTCTGATGCTTCTTTGCTCAATGGAATTCCTTTTGGAAACCTTGATTACCAATCGTTCTCTATGCTTAGTTCATTAGCATTTGATATTAATCTTGATTTGCCTTTGTTCTCTTTCACAACCCATACTACCATTAACTAATATATTCGTTCAAAATGCTCAACTCAATCATGCCTTGTCCCTACTATTTGAGGTTGGCTATGAATCCTATTTTGTCGTTCCCCTCAATTAATGGTTTTAAATAACGTCTTTCTTTATTATACCAACCCATGTTAATTTTGGTCTCTCGTCTCTCAACATTACCCACAAAGTAGACAATGTTGCTCTTCCTAATTGTTGCAATTATTTGGGCTGGTTATTTGGCTTCGTTTTGGGCATTTGTGTCCCCTCCTTTTAAAGGAGTTCCTTTTTTCTTGATCTCTAGGGATTGGGCTGCTGTTTGCCATCTCTAGTGCTAGGAGTTTTGGGATTTTGTTTTGATTTTTCTTTTCTTCTTTGTATGAGGACTTCTTGTCCTCCTTCATTTTTATGGTTTTTTAATAAAACTTTTTGTTGATGCTCAAAAAAAACAAAAAAAAAATTTATTGTTTTTGTAGCTCATAATCAAACCATCTTAATTGATTTTCCGTCATTTTATCTTCAATGGATGCTATATCTACTCACGAATTCATTCATTCCTAATTTTTGTCTTCCTAGTTTTGCCACACCACATCTACCTCAACATTCTCATCTTGGCTATAGGCATTTTTGATTTGCCAACATTTTGATAATAAAGTGTGGTTAATTTCATAGGTGTCTTCTAGAATTGTCCTTTTAGTTTTATGGGTTTGTGTCAATCACACGAGACACCAAGCACCCCTGCACTTAGTCCATCTTGCCTTAAATATGAGTAATATTATCACAATCTCTCCATCGTTATGTATAATCAAGTGTTTCTCTGCCTTCAATGCCAACTATCCCTCTTTCGTCATCTTTTACTAAAGTCACATTCTCTATGTTCGTATTTTGGAATCTTTTTGATTAAGCTCATCCATGATCTGTATGACCGTCATGTTTTTGTTGTTGGCTAAATATGTGTTTATTTATTGAAATATCTGACACGTGTGTTTTTCTATATTTTATGTTACTTCCTTATTTGATGGCTTGTAAGGCTCATATGAATGTGTTCTTGAAACTCAGTTAGAAAATGATGTTGTGGTTCCAACTGAATTAATATGTGCAAACTACACTATGAAAAGATTGTTCATTGTTAGTTCTATTCCGCAGATTGTGGAAAAGCTTCTTATTACAGCTGTGGCAGATGCTGATGTTACTGTTCGGCATTCTATATTTTCCTCTCTGCGTGAAAATGGAGGATTTGATGATTTCTTGGCACAGGCTGATAGTTTGAGTGCTATTTTTGCTGCATTAAATGATGAGGTATGATTTCACTTAAATTTTAAGTTTTAGGTAATCGGTAAGGCTGATGAGATATGGATCTTATTTTCTTTCATGCCTTTTTTGTTAGGTTTGTGTTTATGGAGTTTAGTAGTCTTCAGATTTGTCTTAGTAGCCAGTTCCAAATTCTGTACTCTTTTCTTGTTATATGAGGTTGGTCTGTGTAATATTTGTGTGTTCACTAGCCACTTCCAAATTCCATACTCTATTGTTGTAATATGAGGTTGGTTTGTGTAATATTTCTGTCTTCTTACAATTTAATGAAGAATAATGTACTTTTGAGTAGATGTAATGCCTAAGGCAATCTAGGAGTGATTCCTACGATATTTTCGCTTTTCTTGCCCTCCACTCCCTAGTCTTTTGCTTTTTAGGTCTTTAAATTTGGATGGCAAGCCTTGTTAACCTCCTTATTTTCATGATATTGTTATGATGGCAAAAGTTTCTCTTTTCTGGCCTAATTAAATTGCCAAATCCTCACCCTGTTTATAGACCGCTGCAAGTCCAAAAAATCCATCCTTCATTGACATGAAATTTCCCTAGTCATTCACTCTCCTTTCCATTTATTTTTTTTCAAAATTTTTCTGGTAGTGAAATTTTTGGCTAAATTATACTTGTGCATAAGACCTATGGTTGTATTTGTTTGCTTAAAATCTTGCTTGGAGAAAACTAGGGGTCACTAGTTTATTGGTTAAAAATCAGTCCAATAGCCTTGAGGTTGTGGTTCGAATTCGAGGGAAACCACTTTGTACATAATGTTCAAATGTTACGTAGGCCACCCTTCCAAGACCCCCATTAACAGGGACTAATCTGAGTATACTTTTATAATCTTCTTTGGAGAACCATTTAACCGTTTTAAATAGTTAAGTTCTATGCAGTTAAGTAGTAGGAGATCAGAAACTCTTCTATTATTTGTACAAAAGCTTGCCTATCCCAGAGGTTTTAACTGCTTTTAGTTCCCTTAGTATGTAAGGGAATGTGCTTTTTATAAACATAGGTGGGAAAGACGGAAATATATCAGCATTGTGGGAAAGTGCATGCTCTAAGGTAGTTTAGAAAAAAACAAGAACTCTCAGATTTTTCTTTATTTGAAGTGTGAAATAGTAAAATGGAAAAAGTGTAAATTTACATCTTGGTATTGATATGGGAACCATCAAGTATCTCTTAAACAGATAATGCTGTTTTAGCTTGTCCCCTCTGTAGAGAAGAGCATTTCAAGTCTAATAATAACATCTAAAAATTATTTGTAGTCTCTTTTATAGAGGAGGTGCGTCTGCATCCGATCCCAACTCTTTTTGGAGACTCCAAGATGTGTTGTGCACTTTTTGGATAGTTGCTAGTCATGTGTAGGACATTTCGTGGTATGTTTTAATCCAAAGTATGTTTCATAATTATAGATGGTTGGGCAACACCTCTCAGGCATGTGACAAACACTCAATAGTGGATGCAACCATTGGAAATGGAATGAGTACATCCCAAGGGTCTAACCAATTTTTTGTATAGAAAGGAAAGAAAAATTAACATTGTAAACATGGAAGCAACATGTGAAACATGCAATGAAGAATGTATTATATAGGTAAAGTAATTGAATTGGCAAGTAAAAAGTATATTCATGGAGGGGAGTAGTCCAGTGTTATCAAAAGCACATCAAGGCATGCACCTGGGTGCACTTTAGTAGGGACGAAGCCGGAAAATTTATTTTAGGGGCCCAAGTTAAGTGTAGAAAAATAGATAAAGTTAGCATTTTGAAAATAATAATTTCTTACATAAATGTTATGAAAAAAATTAGCAAAAGAAAATACATTTATATAAGCGATTTCTTAATGTTTATCTAAATTGTTTCATACAATTTTTGAACTATATAATGAGGATGCTAGTGTGTATTTTATTAGACTGTTATTTTATTGGTTAATATAATTTATAATAAATAAAAAAATATTCTTCTTTTTATTTTTATAACAAAAAATAATAAATGATGTTTACATATCAAATCAATATAATTGATGGTATTCGTAATATGTCAAATAGTTGGATATCATGTCATAAATATTGTAAAACTACTCATGAAATAAAAGATTAATGAAAGAATTTTTAAAAACTTAAGAGGGTCAGGTCATACTAAACTTATTCATAAATTTAAGGGCTAATAGAAGAATTCTACAAAAGTTAGGGGGGCATGGCCCCCTTTAGCCCCCCATTGCCTTTGTCCCTGCACTTGAGGTGCCTCATCGCCCTTGAGCCGAGCCGACTTTAATGATATAGATTAGGTTACGTACCATTTTTTTGTTTTACTCTTTTCCCTTCGCTCAGTAACAATGGTCAAACAGTATTTTGCAGTCTAAGTGTTTATTGTTAATGGCTAATTTGTTTAAATATTTAATTATTTAGTTAGTTAATTTTTTTAATTGCCTAACTTTTTTTATTGTTAATTTGATTTTTTGATGTGGTTCAAGTTATTAAATACAACATGTAATGTGTTGGTAATAATCTTATGTAAAAATACACGTCCTCAGTTAGTACTTAGTATATATGGTAGATAAATTGTTCAATAAAATTTCCCAACTCAAAAAAAAAAAACACTATGCAATATCTATAAGATGTACCTCTCTTTGATAAAACCTGTGCTTCGCCTCTGCCTTGCTCCTAGGTCCTAGGAGATCTTGGCGCTTCAGTGCGCCTCTTTTCTTAAATAACACTGGATTAGTCTATGACTTAAATTGTCGAGTTTTTGTTAGGTTTTTTTATTTATAAAAATGCAATTTGAAGTTTATGGGAGCTATATTTGTTCTTTTGTAATGTATTTGTCAGATTGGTTTTTACACTTTGCAAGAACCTTTGACATATTCCTTTTTACGACTCTGCTCGCCCTTTCCATATTTTGTTCTTTGTTGTTATAGGATTTTGAAGTACGGGAATATGCAATTTCTGTCACTGGGAGGTTATCTGAAAAGAATCCAGCATATGTTCTTCCTGCACTTCGTCGCCATCTTATTCAGTTGTTGACATATCTAAAGCAAAGGTAGAGTCAGAGCGTTTTTAGTAACTGATATTCATTCACAATTTTAAGTTACTAATTATTGCTGATATTGTATTGGTGGGTAACTTTTTCTTTCATACACATCTAAAAGGTTTGAAATATGCTACCATGATATGTTAGCAGTGTAGATAGCAAGTGTAGAGAAGAAAGTGCGAAATTGCTGGGGTGCTTAATTCGCAGCTGCGAACGGTTAATACTTCCATATATTGCTCCAATACACAAGGTTCATGTTATATTCTTTAAAATATTTGTCTAGTTTATTTACTTGCTCCATGCTCATCAAGTTCATATCTTATCCAGGCACTTGTGGCAAAACTCTGTGAGGGAACTGGGGTGAATGCTAATCATGGAATTATAAGTGGAGTTCTTGTGACTGTTGGGGATCTTGCTAGAGTGGTGGGTAAACTTCTCTTTGTAATGCAATATGTATTTTTGAAAATATTGTGTGGAGTTGTTAGGATATGCTTAGTGTATTATGCTTTATAGATGTTGTTTGCTAGAGAAGACATTTAACTAGTCGAATGGCAATTACCCTTGAGCTGGGAAATGATGGTTCTTCCAACTTTGATTCCTCAATGAAGTGTTTCTGTGGTGCTCAAAATGTATTCAACAATTTTTTATTTTTTCTTCGAAGTGTGCCAAAGAGAAACTAAAGTTCTAATATTATTTTTCAATTTTTGTTTTGTATAATAAAGAAAAGGGTAAATTACTTCTCTTAAGGTTTGAGAATAATACAGTAAGCTCCACAAGTTTGACATAAATACACCATGCTCCCTTAAGGTTTAAATTCTTATAACACTTTGCTCTCTTACCATCACTCATCTGTTTTATAAATTTACACTAAAACGTATACTTTACCTTTGATTAGGCCTGTGTGTGCACCGACATTAGTCTTGCTTGCTTTACCCTTAGTAAAAGGGAGTTCACATAATTATGCTAACGTCATGTGGCTTATTGTATTTTTCCAAACCTCAAGGGGTCAGTGTAATTTACCCTAACGAAACATGTTTGGTGCTTTGATGATGTTTGTACTTTGGACGAATTTTTGTATTATTTTGCACACAACTAACAATAGGTTGCTTCTTCTTTTCCCCAAACTTATTCCTGCCTGGTTCAGGGTGGTTTTGCAATGAGACAATACATTCCCGAACTTATGCCGTTAATTGTTGAGGCCTTGTTGGATGGAGCTGCTGCCACCAAACGTGAGGTGGCTGTGGCCACTCTTGGTCAAGTTGTGCAGAGTACAGGGTATGCCATGTTTTTCTTCTTTTGTGTTTTCATTTGTTAAGTCTTTTTGTGATTTTATTTTGTTCACTCTTGTCTGGGTCAGTTCTAGATATGGGTGGTGATAATATCACTAGTTCAGCACCACCACTACTATTACTACTACTAAGTTATTTATTTTTTCTAAGTTACTAAATTCTGTTTGTTAGTTATTGAGGGTACGCAAGAAATTATGATGGCTCATTCTACAAGTTATTATAGAATGAGAAAATTGTTATATAGATTTCTATGGAGTGTGGTTCTTTATGGCAATCTGTCACTAAGAGGAAGTAACGGGGTTGAAGCTAATTATTGGGATTCTTATGTAGTTAACTGGGGAAATTTGCAATCTCCCCAGAAGTCAGGGTCTTTCTTTTTTGTCTCGGTTTCCTTGTTATTTGTGGCTAATGGGGAAATGAGCAAGTTTTGGGAGGATGTATAGAAGGGAGAAATCTCATTTGATCTTTTGTTTCCTTGTTTGTATCGTCTCTCTTGCTCTCATTACTCTTTTGTTGCTCCTTATGGCTTCTCCTTATTTACCTATGATTTTAATTTATTTAGAAACCTTAACAATTGGAAAGCTATTGAATTATCTTCTTTATTGTCTATTCTTGAGGATGTTCGTTTGACGCCCAATGTTATTGATAAAAGATTGTGGGCTATAGTGAGAATGTAAAATGGAGAAATTAGGGTTGAAAGTTAGGAGGAAGAAGAAGAAGAAGAGAGAACTTTGTATATATTAAAAACCAATTAATTCCCTCAACTGTACATCGCTCAAATATATATAAAAAACCTAAAGTAGCAATATGACCATCGTACCTTCAACTTAAGTAAATATTAACAAGAGAACAAAAATAACTAAAAGAACTATTCTAACACTCCCCCTCAAGCTGGAGCATAGAGATCGAACATGCCCAGCTTGGCAGACAAACGAAGAAATGAAGGCCGAGCCAAAGGTTTGGTGAGAATATCACCCAATTGATCCTCAGAACGAACATAAGGAGTCACCAGTTGCTTGCGGAGTAAGAGATCACGAATAAAATGGCAATCAACTTCGATATGTTTGGTGCGTTCATGAAACACAGGGTTATTGGCAATGAAGATAGCAGCCTGATTGTCACAAAACATGCGCATAGGAGTGGAAACAGAAAAGCCAAAATCTTGGAGAAGAGACTGAACCCAGAGCATCTCAGAAGCAGTATGAGCCATGGCGCGATATTCAGCCTCGGCACTAGAACGAGCAACGACGGTCTGTTTCTTGCTACGCCAAGTGACAAGATTACCACCAACAAAAGTACAATAGCCTGAGGTGGAACGGCGGTGAGTCGTATTACCAGCCCAATCAGCATCACTGAAGCCAGCGACAGACAAGGAGGAAGAGGGGCGATAGAGCAACCCCCGACTTGGAGCACGCTTTAAGTATTGCAAGATACGACATACAGCCACAAAATGGGGTTGGCGGGGAGCATGCATAAACTGACTGACCACACCCACAGCATAGGTAATATCTGGACGAGTGACAGTGAGATATATTAACTTGCCAACCAACCGACGATAACGACCAATATCAGGAAAGAAGTCGCCAGTGTCACCAGCAAGCTTGACACTAGAATCCATGGGAGTATCACTGGGGCGAGTGCCTAAGAGACCAGTCTCAGTAAGAAGATCAAGAACATACTTCCGTTGAGAAAGAAACAAGCCCTGAGAAGAACGGGCAACTTCAATCCCAAGAAAATATCGAAAATGGCCCAAGTCTTTGGTGTGAAATTGTTGTCCCAAATACTGCTTCAAAGCAGCAATACCATTGGAGTCACTCCCTGAAATGATGATGCCATCCACATAGACAATAAGAACAATACTCCCAGTAGACGAGTGGCGAACAAAAACAGAGTGATCAAAAGTGGAACGGTGAAAGCCATAGGCAAGCACAACAGCACTGAAGCGATCAAATCAGGCACGAGGGGACTGCTTAAGACTATACAAGGCCTTCCTCAATCGACAAACAAGATGCTCTTGGCCGGGAACAACATAGCCAGGGGGCTGATCCATATAGACCTCCTCGTGGAGATCACCATGGAGAAAAGCATTCTTGATATCCAGTTGATATAAAGGCCAAGACTGATTAACTGCTGTAGAAATTTAATGTATAAAGAGAAAAAGAGAATTGTATTATTGATTGATGTTTGTAATTGTTGAATTATTGAATGCTACAATGATTCCTATATATAGAAGAGTAGGTGGTAGTAGGTGGTAGGTGGAGTAGGTGAAGTGGAGGTGGTAGTGGTGTAGTGGGTTTAGTGGAGTAGGTGAGGTGGTAGTGGTGTAGTGGGTTAGGTTTAGTGGGTGAGGTGGTAGTGGTGTAGTGGGTTAGGTTTAGTGGGTGAAGTAGGTGATAGGTTTTAACAGCCCCCCGCAAACTCAAGGGGGATAGGAACTAACCAACTTGAGTTTGGAGAGAGTAACAGCCTCAAGATAGGTGCGAGGAATGGAAATACTCGACAAGCTACAAGCAAAAGAGTGAAGACCAGGAGAGAGGCGATCATAAGAAACGAAATGAGCAATAGGATGTTGAGTGCAAGTGCGTTTACCTTTGCGGAGGGCAATAGGAAGGTCATCAGATGGTAGAGCAGCAGGTGGAACAGGGGCCTCAGACGAAGGAAATGAACTGGCCGGGCCATAAGACACAGTGCGACGAGCTTGAGACCGTTGATAAACCTGCAAAGGAGGGGTAGAAGTGAGAGGAGAGAGAGAGGATAGAGGAGTGGATGTGGAAGGAGCATAAGAGGGAAGAGTAGGAGCGAGAGAGGCTGGCTTCCCCTCACGAGAAGAGAGAAGATCAGGAGATAACTGTTGCCCAGAGGAAGAAAAAAACGGAGTAGACTCAAAAAACGTTACATCAGCACTGACAAAGTAGCGACGAGACTCAAGATGATAACACCGGTACCCTTTTTGAGTGCGAGAATAACCTAAGAACACACACTTGCGTGCACGAGGAGATAACTTATCCAACCCAGGGTCAAGAACATGGACAAAGGCCACACACCCAAAAATGCGAGGAGGCAAGGGAAAAGGAGATGTGGTGGATATAACAGAGAATAGGGAGATGTGTGTACAACACTAGAGGGCATGCGATTGATAAGCAAACAAGCAGTGAGAACAGCATCGCCCTAAAACTGTTTGGGGACATGCATATTAAACATCAGGGTGCGAGCAACATCTAGCAAATGGCGGTGTTTCCGTTCTGCAACACCATTTTGTGGGAATGTATGAGGACAACTAGTTTGATGAATAATACCATGAGCATCACAAAAGGTAGTTATAATAGATTGCACATATCTTATTCTAAGGCATTATCAGATCGAAATATCTTAATACGTTTGCCAAATTCAGTAAAGATTTCATTATAAAACTTAGAGATGATGGAAGGCAAATTAGATCTTTGTTTCATTAAAAACAACCAAGTCATCCGAGAGTAATCATCCACAAAAATAACAAAATAAAAGAACCCATTAACAGTAGGAGTTCTAGAAGGACCCCAAATATCTGTATGGACAAGAGCAAAAGACTCAGACACACGACTAACACTACGACGAGGAAAAGAACTACGATGATGCTTCCCAAATTGACAGGCTTCACACTCAATCTGAGAAACATGACTCAAACCCGGAACAGCTAACTTGAGCTTGGCCAAGGAGGGATGACCCAAGCGAAAATGCCACTGAAGAGGAGATACACTAGCACTCAACACAGCAGATGAAGGAGGAGACGTCTCAGCGTCCAAAAAGTATAAGCCATCCTTCTCATGCCCCGAACCAATCATCCTCTTGGTCTGGAGGTCCTGCAAAACACAAGAAGTAGGAGAAAAGGTTATTGAACAATGGAGAGCTTGAGTCAATTGGCTAACAGAAAGCAAATTAAATGGAAATTTAGGAACATAAAGACCAGAAGGTAAGGACATGGATGGAGTGGGATGAAGAGGACCTTGACCACAGACAGGCCGAGAAGATCCATCAGCAAGTATAATGGTATGATCAACAGGTCTAAGAGTATCAAAAAGAGAGGAATTACCAGAGACATGAGAACTAGCACCAGAGTCTAGGAGCCAAGGCTGAGAGGACTTAGCCACACATGCAATATTACCTGAACTAGCCATGGTAGCAGTAGAGGAAGAAGGTAGACTAGGCCGGAGAGACTGGACAAGGGCAGTAAGCTCACTAATTTGAGTAGTGAGTGTCTCATGCGAAGTAACAGGAGAAGCATCCGAGCCAGTGGACAACAAGGAAGACTGTGAGGAGGGGACATCCATAACCTGATGGACATGATCAGGTCTGCCATGCTTTTGCCAACACCAAGGTTCAGTATGACCTTGGGAACCACAATGAGTACACTTGCGATCACCACGTGTACGAGAACCAGGTCCACTACTACTGCCACCACGGAAACCACCACGTGAGCCACCACTACGAGAACCACCTCCACGAGAGCCCCGAAAACCAGAAGAAGAGCTCCGGGAACCAAAAGAACTATGAAAACCCCCGCGAGTAGACCCATGATCTACTAGAAACCAATGCAGAAGATGATAAAGAAGACCCAACAGTGGATTGTGCTTGTCCCAATGAAGAGCGTAACAGCCTAGAATAGGCATTGGCAGCCGAAGGTAGAGTGTCACTGGCAAGAATCTGATCTTTGAACCCTCGCAACTCAGGATCTAAGCCAGAAAGTAAAGAAGCCATCATAAACTCCTCCCAATGTTGTTTCTGGGTGGTCACATCAGTTGTGAAAGGTCGATGCTGCAGTAACTGATCCCACAAAGTCTTGAGACTACTATAATAATCAGGAAGAGACCGGCCAGATTGACGCATAGCAAAAATCTGTTCATATAACTCGTAGACTTGAGAGACATTACTTTGAGTTGAAAAAGACTCAGCAAGGGAGTCCCAAATGGCCTTAGAGGTATCACAAAATTCCACGGTAGTAGCAACATGTGGTTCCTGACTATGCCAAATCCAACCCATCACACAAGAATCCTCACAACACCAATCATCATAATCCTTATCATCAGTAGAAGGAGGGAGTTCACTAAGATAGCGGGACTTCTTCTTACCTCGTAAGAAAATCTTGACAGCATGGGCCCAAGCCAAATAATTAGCACCATTCAATTTCTTTGTAGTGATAGATTTAGGCATATTATCATCTTTACCCATAGTTATAGCCTTAGCCTCAATCTCAACCATAATGATCAACCAGACTTGCAAACAGTCAACACCCACAATCACACCTATAAACACAGAACTAGCTCAACAACCAAGTTTGGACCCAAATGAGACCAACACATCAACGCAACAGTAGCAATCTATAAAGAGAGGACAAATATCCCTTGCTAGAAGGGTGTCAGCCCTTAGAGGGGTGATTTTCGTCTCCAGAAACAGCCACAAGTGATTTTCGGCTCTAGAAACAGCCACAAATTGAACAGAATATCAACCCCATAGGAGTAAAACAACAAATTAAGATCAAGGACCCTTAGAGGGGTGATTTTCGGCTCCTAGGGAAGTGAGCCCAGCAAGAAAAACCTGAAAAAAATAGTCCCAAAGGCAGATTCAAAAAAATAGTCCCAAAAACACGAAATAGTTTCAAAAATCGAAAACTCACATCAGGGATGATCAAAAAATTCCACAAAAATCACCATAAATCTCAGGAGGCAATTTCGAGTCTAGGGGTGAAGGACCCGTCCGTACACTGCTGACGTCATGCTGACGTCATCGTACGGCTGATGACATCAGCACGTCTCGGTCACCTCAGATCGATCTTTAGAATCTGTAGAACCCTTTCTAATGAAGAAGAGATAGCTCTGATACCAAGTGAGAATGTAAAATGGAGAAATTAGGGTTGAAAGTTAGGAGGAAGAAGAAGAAGAAGAGAGAACTTTGTATATATTAAAAACCAATTAATTCCCTCAACTGTACATCACTCAAATATATATAAAAAACCTAAAGTAGCAATATGACCATCGTACCCTCAACTTAAGTAAATATTAACAAGAGAACAAAAATAACTAAAAGAACTATTCTAACAGCTATTATTTCTTTTGTAGGATTATTAACAATCCTAATGCAACACTTTTTGTTTCTCAAAAGATGATTTGGAATGCAATTGTGCCTCTTAAAATTAAAATATTTGTATGGTTTATGGCTCATAAGAAACTCATTAATGTTACGTTTCAAAAAAGGGGATATCATTGTCATTTACTTCCGTAGTGGTGTATTATGGGTAGGAGAGACGAGGAGAGCATAGGTAATTTGTTTTAGCGTTGTCCTATGGCTATGGCTATGTCTGTATAGCATAGACTACTGTAGCTTGTGGATATTGATTGAGTAGCACCATGTATTTGTAATCAAATGATTTTGATTGATTATAGAGGTTTTGGTTTGAGGAAGAAAGCACAAGCACTTTGGGATGTGGGTTTTTTTTTTTTTTTGAGGGATTTTTTTTTTTTTTTTTTTTTTTGGGTGTGTATGTAATTTGGTTGGAAAGAAATGTTAGGATTTTTTAGGATAAATCTGAAGATTTAGAAGAACTATGGGATAAATTTTTTTAGCGTCTTCTTTTTGGGCTTCAATATCATCTCCTTTTACTGGGATCCATTTGTTTTTTATTTATAGAGGTTGGCGAACTATGTGTGGTATGTTATTTTTTATTTTTGTTTTCTGTGGATTTCTTGTACTCCGTTGTGTCCTTTTTACTTATTCTATCCTTTAATAAAATTGTAGTGTCATTATCAAAATCATAGAATGAGAAATGTACATTTTGATATTACTTGTAATTAACTTTACTTTTCCAAGTTATGCTATAAAAAAAATATATTGCTTAGAACACCTTATCATTACTACCACAAGGTCTTTTGAAGTTTTTTTTTCTTTCGCTCCTGCCAACCATTTCATGCAATTGTTCTTCAATCTGGATGACACAAACACTTAATTGAATACAAAAATTTTAAACCTTTTAGATAGAGAATGTGTGTTGAACCATTATGAATTTAATGGAAGCATCTTTGTCTTGCTAACAATCAGTACAAATTCTTTTGCTCATTTCATCAAAAAGTAAACCCATGAAACACAGAAACATTTTATGCATAGTTTCATGTCCTTCAGTCATCAAACCATAACAAGCTTGTTAACCAATTCCTTCATCACATGCTTTAAGGTCAGGAACAGGTTGCTTGATTGGTTCATGCTAACAGTGAATCTAAGAAACTTTCCAAGCTGCATAATAAAACCATGAAATATTTCTAAATTATTCTCCAAAAATCAAAGGCAAGTTATTTCATGGTTTATTATGTAGTTTGGAAAGTATCTTCTGGATGTATCACTTGACTACTGAGAAAAACTTTATTTTCCAATTGGTAAATTGGAAGGAGGCCATGTAATTTGGAGGCCAAGATACAAACAAATCCACGTTGCTAGTTCTGTGTGGTTTGATATGAAAATTGATATTACTATTGTTACATTTCTTAGTAATGAGAGACCAACTATTTAATTAACTCCTTTCAGATCTACAGAAAATAAGTTTGTCAACAAGATCGATGTCTCTAATGCAATAAGCTGTGATAATCTCTATGTTCTGCATGGGTTTCAAGTATTAAAAACTTTCAGGGTTTAGTTGTATGTTCTGTTTATGATGTTGATGAAATTCTCTGTCTATTAGATGAATCATGGAAGTATAGTTGTGTTGATGGGGGCTCTTGCAATAGTGTATTGGTGTGTGCCATTGTGCACACTGATACTTCTGATATGGATCTTGTCAATATGTTGTCAGTAGGTGATAATGGAACGGAATTCTCATTCCTTAAGCTTTTGTATGAAATGATCATTCCCTTATAATGGTGAATGATGATTTCATTTGCTATGCATTTCCTATCATTTTATTTAGTGAACCAAACGTTGCAATGAGTATTTTGATGGAATAATCAGTCCATTCCTCTTAATTCTAATGAACCAATTAAAACATTAGTATAGAACCAGTGGAGGTGAGTTATTATTCCTATGTTTCCTTTGTCCAGAGGGCTGATTGACCATTTATGACTCAAAGCCCGGCGTGGAAAGGCCATGCGGTGGAGAGGATATGGGATAGTGGATTATATTCCTATAGTTCTGGCATGAGTGATATCTTCAATATCCATCCCTCTATACCCTCTCACTCACCTATACTTATTTATAAAGGTGAAATCAAACTCGTGGGTTTAATGGGAGTTGGATCTTTTGATGATATTCCTGATCTGGTTGTTAACAAGCCCTTGAGGGAAATATTTGGGGATATTTTTGCAAGGAGTTTGGCTGAAATCAAATTGATGGAGTTTTTTAGTAGTTGGATGCTGTTGATCTTTGTTCTTCAAGTGACGAAAATGTTACTTGTTCTTGGATTGTAAGACAAGTGTTATACTTCTTGCAAGCTTAAATTAAGGAAAGGAAATACTTAGAAAATATGAAGAAGAAGAACTCCGAAAATATGAGGAAGAAGGAATATATTTCTGTTATATTCAAAACTTCTTATCTTACAAGACCAAATGACACTCCTTATATAGGAGATATTACAAACATCATCATAACCCATTATATGCCACTTACATTTAAATTAAGGAAAGGAAATGGGATTTGGTGAACTAAAATTTATTGAAATGGTTGCTTTGGTTAATGTACGAATATTTTTAGTAATATGCATGTTAAAGTTTGTGGATGAATAATGTTGACAGGTACGTTATAACTCCATATAATGAATACCCACTATTGCTTGGTTTACTGTTGAAATTGCTGAATGGTGAGCTAGCATGGTCCACCAGACGAGAAGTTTTAAAGGTATGTGTGCACCAGCTAGACTACTTAAGTTATCTTTGAGATTTTACCTCGTATGCTGAAATTGTGCTGGGTGTCCCCCAGGTTCTCGGCATTATGGGTGCCTTGGATCCTCATTTACATAAGCGCAATCAGCAAAGGTTGTCAGGGTCACATGGTGAAGTTACCCATGCAGCCAGTGATTCAGGTCAACACATCCAGTCTATGGATGAATTGCCTATGGACCTCTGGCCATCTTTTGCAACATCAGAAGATTATTTTTCCACGGTAAAACTTAAACCTTAAATATGACATTTTCTATCTTGCTAAATCTTATATATTTTTACTTCAGGTTGCTATCAATTCTCTCGTGCGGATTCTTAGGGATGCTTCACTATCTAGTTACCACCAAAAAGTGGTTGGATCTCTCATGTTCATATTCAAGGTTTGTCTACTGACATTGAATATTTGTTTGTTTCTCCAAAATTTTTTTTTCCCTATTATTTATTTTGAATCCTAACATTATCTTTATTGATTTGTTTTTTGCGAGATTAGTCAATGGGTCTTGGCTGTGTCCCATACTTGCCAAAGGTTAGTTTACTCTTCCTGTTAAATTTGGATTCATACAAATCTGGATTTGTTGAACCCTAGGTAATTAACCAGAAGGAATTAGGTATCATGTGAAACTGTGGTACCCCTTTTGGGCATATCATGGCACTTCCCTCCTGTTGGTTTCTGAGAATTTTCATCATATGGAAAGTACATCATTTGACCCTTTGGAAATTGTGGCATTTTTTGGTTGTTAGGGAAAGAGGAAATCTTGTTGAGCCCCTACGTGAAGCTGAATGATGTTACATAAAAATATTTTATGTTGTAAATGGTTGCATCCTCTTGATTCCTTTTTTGAATAAACTTTTTCTTTAAAAAGAAATAAAAAATAATAATAATAATAAAGAAAAAAAGGTGATGTATCATTCGTCATAATTGATGTGTTGATTCTCAAAGTATTAAAAGGATGTGTAATTTTCTTTTTGGGGGTACGTAAGAAGATTCTATTACCAAAAAGGTGAGTTATTTCAATGAGCTCAGAATACATACCCTAAGTTGCACTATCAAAGGCATGACCTGGCCTACACAAGAAATGAACATCCTCGCCTAACCCGCGAGGCTAGGAAATCCAAAATTGAAAAAGCACAGTTTGCCTCACACCATCCTTTTAACCCTAGCGTACTTTAAATTTTTTATCTTTCAATTCAAGAATTCATCTTCTTATCAACATGATCTCCATTTGATAAATAGCTAGCCTGATGCTTAGGCACATCTTGTCTCTTGTTGTCAAGAGTCAAGAACTTCAATATATAAGCATTCAATATGAATTGATAAATTCTGTGCTGACGTAATTTTTTAAATGGGTTGGATTTGGGTTGAACAAATTCTGGTTCTACCCAACCTTTTTTTATCTGTAGGTTTTGCCTGATCTTTTTCATACTATCAGTACATGTGACGATGGTCTGAAGGAATATATAACGTGGAAGCTTGGAACCCTGGTATCTATTGTGCGTCAGGTAAATTGTGATATTATGGAATTGCATGTTCTTTTCCGCATTGTATGATTGTTGTGATTATTTTGGGGAGCATTTATGGAATCTTGGTGGGCATTTGCAGCATATTAGGAAATATCTGCCAGAGTTACTCTCTCTGATAGCTGAATTATGGTCATCCTTTAGTTTGCCAGCTGCTAACCGTCCCGTGCATGGTTCCGCGGTAAGTTTGGCTTCTTTTGGGGAATTTTACCTGCATTTCATATTACAAATTGATTACCTTGCTCGCTCTTTCATTTCTGTATATGCAATTAGTGGTGCTATATTTTTTGGATTTTGTTCTTAGATTTTGCATCTACTGGAACAATTATGCTTGGCCCTCAATGACGAATTCAGAAAGCATCTTCCTGTTATTCTTCCGTGTTGTATTCAAGTCCTCAGTGATGCTGAACGCTTTAATGACTACACTTATGTCCTTGATATTCTCCACACACTTGAAGTGTTTGGTGGTTAGTATTCGTTTTTATGATATTATGTGCAAGGCGTTATTTTACCGCTTAAGGACCAATCCACCTTCTGGAAACCCTTTTTGCATGAATTAATATTGTAGGGACACTGGATGAACATATGCATCTACTACTTCCTGCACTCATACGATTATTTAATGTGGATGCTTCTGTGGATATAAGACGCGCCGCTATCAAGACTCTTACAAGATTGATCCCTCGTGTGCAGGTAGGCAACTGAGCTATTCACTTTATAAGCTGGTGATATATGTGAATGTTGAATATAGCTCTTTTTCTTTTTCTTTTTTCCTTTCTTTTTTTTTTAATTATTTAGAATTCTGGAATTTTGTGCGAGAATGTTTGGAGCAGCTTCTCCTTACTACTTATTATGGAAAAATGACTTAAATAAGTGAAAAAATAGCTGTTATTGGAAAGCGGAGGGAAGATGCTTTTTGATTAAGTGTTTAATTTATTTATTTTAACTTGCAACAATCTGCCGCGAATAGGGCTATTGCACTTACTATTTTTCCTCTGCCTCTTTGTCTTCTTCTTTCATCAGGTTATTGGTCACATATCAGCCCTTGTGCGTCACTTGAAGCTAGTCTTGGATGGGTCTGTTTCCTATTTCCTCAATTTCAAGTATTTACAATAATGCAATCATAAATATTTTTCTTAATGTGCATTTGTCTATACTTGATCAGTATGGTATTCTTGTTAACCTTTCGCTTTACATCCACGTGTATAGACATACATGCACCTTTTTCAAATTTCTTGGTAGTGATGTTGAAGTAAATATTTTCAAGGACATAGTTGCAACGTTGTACTCTGTTGTTGAACTCCTTTGCAATAAGAAATTCTTATTGGTGTGTGCGCTATATTTTTTTACATGTATTTGGGTTGGGGTATGGAGTATGGAGTTTACTAGTAATTCGATGTGTTTGGTTTTCCTATTGTGTGTGGACTAGGATTTCCAAGGTTTGCATATAAATAGAAAATTTGTGGGAATTCTAGGTGCGAGTGAGACTGAGAGAGTTTGTAGTGATGTTAGGGGAGATGGAAAAATACCAATGGGCGAGAAAGTGGGTGTGGCTTCGGGGCATGGGGACGGTGGGAGTAAGAAGGGATGCATGGGATTGGTTCAGGGCTCCAGTATTGTTAATGGGTTTGTGCCTTCGGGACTCAAGGACACCTGGAGTAAGATGGGAAGCAGGGGATTGCTTTAGGACTTTGTATGGTGTCGAGTTTCTGCGTATTTTTGAACTATTGATTTTAATATCTACAATTTATAGTTAATTTATTTATTTATTTTTCTCCTGGGTGTATTTGTGTTCACGTTCTTGTGATGTAAAAGCCCAACAAATGGCATCAAAGCACATGTAGTAAAATATATGATCTTGTTCGTACGGATCAAGATTTTTTTATTCACACATGAAAGCAGAAAAAATTACCATTGAAGGTGGCAGCATTTGGATTGATTTGCCGCAAGAACCAATGTGGTGAGTGTTACTTGCACTGACCAGTTATATCTTCTTTATTTTTTGTTCATGCATATTTGAGGAAAGTAAAGAAGTGAAGCAATCTGGTGCAAACACTTTTTTTCTTCTTTGTATACATACAAAGCACGAGACAAAAAGGAAGAAACCAAAGGCATAGCATGACAGGTTTCTTGGATCTTGGTTATGGAGTGATTTGGTGTTACAGGAGTATGTCTTTGCTCAGATAGGCAAGATATAATTTCTTTTTGTTAGGTCGGCGTATGTACATAGCAAAAATCTAAAGGCTAAGAAAAATCTTTATGAAGGGGGAAATGATTTTTAGCATAATAATCATATAGTCAACAATCAATGGAGGCCGTTGGAAGATGACAAAGGTCATTGGATGTCATAGACATGGGAGATAACCACCTTGTATAGTTGAGTTTTCAAAACTTGTTTTCTAATATTTTCAAAAAAAATGAAACTAATTCGGTTAAAAAAAAAAATGAATTAAAAAAAACTCATCGTTTTCATATAGTTCTCTTTTTTGGGGGAAAAAAAATAATTTTTGGTATTTAGTTTCATCAAATTAGTTTTTATTTTTTGGAGAGAAAAAAAAGAAGAAAACAAATTCTGATAACTCAATCGAACTAAGTAAACATTTCTAGTTTCTTCTTCCCGGTTCTTAATATTTTTGTTAGATCTAATGGTTGTCTGAAGGTAGTTTATTTTCCTTGTCTTCTCTTCATCTTGTGTATTCATTTAATTTTTAATTTTTTCTAAAATTGAGTTATGAAGCTGACCTCAACATGTCCCCATGTGTCCATAAACACTTTTTCACGTGTCTGATCGTACTTTTGTTTGTGCCTGACACTAATATGTAGGTCTGGGAGAGGTGTTTGTGCTTCCTAGTGAGCTCTCAATTCACAAGATGACACTTACACACGTCTACGACACTCCATTAAAAATTCCATTGGAGTTTTAATCTGTTAGCCATTGAAGAATAGGGAATTTTGACAAAGGGTTCTTTGTCTCAAAATTCGAATAATATGCATTACTTGATGAGAGTGAGTTTACCCTCCTACAATAAATATCATCTCTTCCACCTAGTCAACTTCCTTCCAAGACATTCCATATGACCGTTCCGGACTGGGAAGTAGGAAGGGTCCTGACTTTGAAACTTAGATCCGCCCCAAACCCTGGATGCTAGGCACTATGCACTTCTCTACTTGAATCAGTTATTGCCAGTGTTGCTTCCATTTGTGATTTGCCTGTACCCAAAGTTTTAAAGGGCTTTATTGAGGCTTGCCTCGATGCTCGCCTTGAGGCGAGACTAAGGCAAGACGCCTCAAGGCTTTGATTTGTAGGCTTTGCTCCCTAAAGGTTTGCGCAGAGTCTTGAGACATGTCCCTTAGGTGCGCCTTGCACACATTTTACACATAAGCATATGAGGAGTAAGCATATGAAGAGTTTACCTTAGGCTCCTGTTGAACTTAGTCTAATAGATGGTTTAAACATAAAAAAGTAAAAAATAAAAATAATAAAAAAAACTCAATTTGCAATTATATTTTATAGGAAAAATTAAGGCTATGTTTGGTTATGTGTTTTAAACACATTTCCACCCACTGATTTAAGTGTGGTGTTTGTTTTGAGCTTTCAAACTATAATTCCACACTCACTTTTGAAAACTCCTTTTAGGCGGGAAAATTTGGCTACCCCGGTCGTCCTCCCCCCGGACGTTCGGCCGGTTGACTGGAGCAGTGCAAAATTTTTTTTTTTTGGCAATTGGCACCTGTTATTTTTTATATATTAAATAAAAAATACTTTTTGAATTTTTTTAAATTTTTTTATGAGTTTTGAATAGAATTTTGGGTTGTGTTTGGTTAGGAGTTGTAATTTTGAATCAAATATCATATGTCACATCAATTATTCAAAACTCAATTCAAAATTCTTTTCAAAACTCATAACCAAACAAATTTTCCACACTCAAATCATAATTCCAAAACTCACAAAACACAACTATATTCTCAAATCATAATTCCAAAACTCTATCAAACACCACCTAAGTAAATGATGAAACAAGAAAAAAACACAAAGTTAATGCTTAGTGAGAAGCTCAATCACTAAAGTTGAAAATACCAATTTCACTTTCAATTAAGTAAAGCTTCCTTCTCTGCTATGAAAAAAAGTATTTAAACTTTTATATTTAATTTTGATTTATTTATTTATTGTTTTAAAATATTTAAACTATTTACTAAATATAAAAATTTTAAATTTTAAATGCTTAAGTCTCAACGCCGTAAGGCTTATGCCTCGCCTCATGAGAGGTAAAACGTCTTACGTTACACATTTACCTTTAAAAACTTTGCCTGTACCATTAGTTACAGTTAGATATTGATGTTAGTGTCTCATCATGTTTGATGTTTGGTCTAGTATGGCTGTGAATATGATTATAAACTTGAGTTTCTCTTGTTATTTAAACCATTTTTTGAAAAACGGATTATAAGTAGTCTCCAATTTTTTGATTTGTTATGTTAATTTATTCTTTTAGTTGTCTGTTAGAACTTCTTTCCCCCTGTTTGCTGCTTCTTGTTAGGAAATTGACCCTTCCTAACCTAGATTGGTGAGACACGAAATAACAAACAAAGAAGAAAAACAAATCAAACAAATCACACACAAGAATTTACGTGGTTCACTCCAGAATAGGGCTACGTCCACGGCTGCTGCTTTTTTTCACTATGATCAGAAAAATACAACTCTCTTTTTAACCTAAAAGAGGCGACCTTCATCTATTTGTAAGTATAGAATTAAGGTTACACAGAAGCAAAATGGGAATTACAAAAGTACCCCAAAAATTTTGCCGGGGGGAGGGGGTAGACCCCCTCTGGACCCCCCCCTCTTGGGGGAGCCCCCCCCAAACCCAGTGTTTGGGTCCAGAACTAAGTAAACATTTCTAGTTTCTTCTTCCCGGTTCTTAATAATCAAGTTAGATCTAATGTTCCATCCTCTCCGTACAATAATATATCCATCTCTCTCATTTTCAATCACACACACTCAGACACTTTCTAGATTCACATTATTCTTACATGGTTGTATGCATATGTTTTTGTTGGTTCAACCGTACAATTTTAACTTGCAGGAAAAGTGATGGGCTCCGGAAAGATGCCGTTGATGCACTTTGTTGTCTAGCTCATGCTCTTGGGGAAGACTTCACTATTTTTATTCCATCAATTCACAAACTTCTGTTGAAACATCGCTTGCGTGTCTGTTTTCTTCCTGATAATTTTCTTATTCGTTATGATCTTCCATTTGATGAATTTCCTCATGCATATAAACATTCTGAGTGTAACAATAATTTCATTTTCAGCACAAGGAATTTGAGGAAATTGAAGGGCGTTTGCAGAGGCGAGAACCTCTAATCTTGGGGTGCCCTGCTGCTGAAAGATTTAATCGACATCTTGCTGTTGAAGTTATTAGTGACCCTCTAAATGATGTGGAGAATGACCCTTATGATGATGGGATTGGTGTGCACAGACAACATAAAATCCATAAGGTAATTTTCATTTTTGATTTGGGTCGCAATGCTTTTTGTTGTTTCCTAGTAACTTGTTTCCTTGTATGCACCGTGGTTGTTAGCTTAATTAAGTAGGCAAATATTATTTTTCCTCCAGTTTCCCTTGGTTCTTACTATGGTGCTTAATCTGTTGTCTAGTGTTTTTGTCATAGATGACATCTTGAAAATAATGATATAGGTCAGTGGGATGGATTTGTTTTGAATCATAAGTAGTGCGGATTGGGAAAAATGGAAATGATTAAAGGGGTAAGAGAAGCATGAAGATGAGATGGAAGAAGGTGAAGACTTGAATGAAGTGACCATTTTTATTAGGTCTTTCCATCACAAGAGGATAAGGTATAGAAGAAAGGAAGGACGGAAGAAAAAGGAACATTGTGAAGTTCTTTCTAATGTGATTGAGATCTTCTTTTTGAAACTATGGTAATTGCTGAAATTCAAAGCAAGTTAAAAAAGGAAACCTGTAAGATCATATTTCTTGTCATTTGCAATAAGCTTTAATTACGTTTGTGTTGGATGGCTAGAGGGGATGTTCCAAGACAAATTGTCCTAGGACTAAGATATCATATCCCGGACTATTGTACACGGTAATTTGGCTTTATGTGGTGTATAATTAGCAAATAAGAATACACCTTGAGTGTCTATGTTGTTTCTCATCTATTTCACCTAACATAATGTTGTCATCTGCAAACAAGTGGGGCACAATCATTCTCTCTCTACCCTCCTTGCCCACTTGGAGCCCTAATAGCTTGCCTCCATGAATTGGCTGGTTAATCAACCAAGTGCCCCCATCAGAATGATGAAAAGAAAAGTGGAAAGGGGGAAAGGGGGGTTGCTTTGTCCTCAAGTAGGAGAAAAACCATAAAGGAAAACAATTCATCATAATCGAGAGCTATGAAACACTGACACTTCAAAACAAGTGCCCTATTTGTGTCAGACACACAGACACTTCGGGGACACACCATTATTTTATTAATTTATTTTCAGGGTACACTTCGGGAACATACTAGGGACATGCCAAGTTGTTTTTTCCCTCGTTTTATTTAGTGTTTTTAATGAACGCTGAATGTTTATTTTTTTATTTTTTATACATTTAAATACTTAATAGATCATCCATAAAAAAAGATATAAACTGTACGTGTTAATTTAAAAGTGCTTTTTTTAAATACAAAAATAGAATTAAAGTTAGTTTTTGTTAATATTGATTGTTTGTGGATGTAATATTAATCTAGATAGCAAATAAAATTATATAAAAATATATTTTATCGTCGTGTCCCCGCCGTGTCCGTGTCCGTGTCCTCGTCCTTATTTTTTTGAAATCGCCGTGTCCCCATCCATATCCGTATCCGTGCTTCTTAGATCAATAGTTAAACTTTGGACATGCAGAATTGAATCCAAGGTTTTCACTTCTCGCCAAAAACTATCCTCTTCAGCAAGTACAGCAAGAAATTCTTACTGACATGATGACCATATGACTTCTGTGTGTCCAACTTATAGATTACCCCAGTAACACCACTGCGAACACGAGAGTTGAGCATGCCGTTTGCCACAAAAACTGCATCCAAGAATTGCCTACCTCCTAGCACCCACAAAGGCATTCAGCCAATTTATCCAATGCCTACCTTCTGTATTCTTCAATTACAATTTACAAGCATTACTTCTCAGTCAAGAAACACATAATTTTTTTTTGTTCATACTAGGGAATTGCTTCAGAACCATGTTCAGGGGTTATGGTACAAGATTTGAAGGGTATTCCAATCTTGCCCATCTAGAGAGGCCTCTATCCATGGTGCTGTCATTTGGTGTTGTGGGAACATACACAATGCTGTAAGTGAGCTTGTCATGCTAAATGTGCACCTTACGAGCAACCATACTCGATTACATGGGTGTTGAGTTAGAGTCTTTAATGTGGCTTCAATTATGAATTATTTTGTGTAGCTTTTCTACTTGTCAAAGAAGATTATTATTATTACTACTATAATTTATTTTATTAATATCTACATGTTTCATGCAGGTCAATGATGTTAGACTTCGCTCTGCTGGGGAAGCTTCTCAGCGCAGTACAAAAGAAGATTGGGCAGAATGGATGAGGCATTTTAGCATTGAACTTCTGAAGGAATCACCTTCTCCAGCTTTACGAACCTGTGCTAGGCTTGCACAGTTGCAGGTGTGATTGTTGTTCTTTTTAACCTTTTCTTAACTGGATTAGGGATTCTGATTTTTTGCTCTTGCAGCCTTTTGTTGGGCGGGAACTGTTTGCAGCTGGATTTGTCAGCTGTTGGTCACAACTGTCTGAGACTATTCAAAAACAGCTAGTTCGGAGTTTAGAGATGGCATTTTCTTCTCCAAATATTCCTCCTGAAATTCTTGCGACACTTCTTAACTTGGTATGGTTTGCCCTTTCTCTTCATTATCCTTTTAATTCCATGTTTGTGTGTGTTGCATGTCTCTTTTATAAGACTGATGGTTTCTACTAATGATATAAACGATAGGGCTAACAATGGGATTTCTATTAGTTGAATGCATGCCTTCCCAAAATATTTTGTTGGGTGCACTTGTTTTAATAATCTTTTTTTTTTTAAAAAAAAAAGAGTAAGATAAATACAAGATTTACATTGTTGTTAATGATAAGCAATATAAGTATTGAAATTAAAGTAAGTGTTGAGATGGAATTAATATATGAAAGTTGAAAGCTTTTTGCATAAGGAAAATGTTTGAGACCTCAAAAAATGCTCACTCAATTTGGCCCACAATGATGTGGTATCATATGTGTCAACTTTTGATTTGTCACAGTCTCAAGTACATGTGCCCAACTCCCTTACCACATCATTGTGGGTCTAAAATTTGGGGTTCTCTTTGCATGATGCTTGCAAACTGTCATTGTGAAACCTGATAAAAGATCTTTACTTCGATGAGCAAGCTAAATATTCTGGTTGCAATCATCCCAGCTGATTGGGAGGATACCCCTCTTTGATGTTATACTTCACTCCTTTCACCCATCCTATTGATTTTAATGCAATAGTCACTATGGAGATGTGCTCCGATGCAGTTTAGATTGTGTAGAAGGTAAAAGTGTTTCAGTATAATTCAACTTAATTTCTATAAATACAACTTCCAAATGTCCCTTGGGTGTTACATTCTGATTCCGTGAAATGTTGCACTGATTTTCTGTAATTCTTTTATAGTTCATCTTAATTTCTATTAATAGAAGCTCCAAAAATCCTTGGGGTGTTGCATTCTGATTCCATGAATCGTGCATGCTGATTTCCATCACACTTTTTGCAATCAGCAGAAATTGAATTCTTAGTTTACCTAGCTAAAGTATGTAATATCCCAATGAGAAACAAAATCGCAACATTATTGTGCAGCAATTTGTCTTTATTTATGAGGCTGCTATTATTTTTATGGATTCAACTCATTGTTACCTATGAATACATAATTATCTTTCAGGCGGAGTTCATGGAACATGATGAAAAACCTCTTCCTATAGACATCCGTCTACTTGGGGCTCTTGCAGATAAAGTATGCTGCTTGCTTCTGAAACCTTAAAAACTATCTTGGTTCATCTTGTGCATTCATGGTGTCCTTACTTTTCTACTCTTCATTTCAGTGTCGAGCATTTGCAAAGGCTTTGCATTATAAGGAGATGGAATTTGAAGGTGCACGCTCAAAAAAGATGGACGCAAATCCTGTTGCTGTCGTAGAAGCGCTTATACATATAAACAGTCAATTATATCAGCATGAGGTGTTTATTTGTCTCTCTTGAAAGATTAATTTTGCTGAGCTTGTAATATATGTTACTTACTCCATCCCATTTCAGGTGGCATGGTAGACCATGCACACAAGTTGAAAAAAGCATCTTGAATAAAAGATTTACAAAAATATCTTTTGTTCTGTTTGAATAACCTGTTTTGGAATTTGAAGCAGGGTAATTTGCAAGTGATGAGTAAACTTTTGAATTTTTTAACTTCTGCCCATAATGGGACTATCAAAAAAGGATGGACTTGTAAACTTGGACGGATGGAGTTTTTATAACGCTTCTTTTTGTTCCTTGTAATATTTTCAAATATCTCAGTTAATTGATGTATGTTTGTTTTTTAGGCTGCAGTTGGAATATTGACCTATGCCCAGCAGCATTTGGATGTTCAGCTGAAGGAGTCATGGTATTATTGATCATTTAATTACTCCAGTTATTTATTTTAGCTACTCACAAATAAGTCGGTGAGAAATTCCCTAGATTGCTCCCATCATGATTGTCTTAGTTATAATGTTGTCTATTAGAATGCTCACATTAGCTCACACTATTCAAGGTATGAGAAATTGCAGCGGTGGGATGACGCTCTCAAAGCATATACTGCCAAAGCTTCACAATCATTGAGTCCACATCTTGTTTTGGATGCTACACTAGGTCTGTATTAAATGATGGCATTCATCATTCTGTTGTTGTTATCATTAGCATTTAATCGATTTACTTTGCAAATGAGTTTAGTTTAAACCATTTATTCATTGTAATGCATTGAGAAGTTCCTTTATAATACATGTGAAGCTTTGAATATAAACCATTTTCAAAGGCTTTGCATGACAGACATCGTTAATTATTATTATTATTATTATCATTTTAGGCACTTCTATATCTTGTAGACATTTTCTGATGTCATATCTCTAGATGAAAAGAACACATTTATGCTAAAAGTATGTGAACTGAAAGTTGAATGCTGTAGCACAATAATGTCAAATGGCATTGTCCCTTGGATCTTTCTTTGCGGTGGAGAGTTTTTTATGTGGTAGAGGTTGATTGGGTTATTCCTAAAAGTTTAGATAAGACAAAAGGTTAGGGAATGAGTTAGACTTTATTTCTTTTTATATTGATAATACTGAGTATAATATAAGGAAACACAATCACACAATCACTTATTTGATTTCCTATTCTACCTTAATTCCTATTTTAATATAATTCTTATTCTAACGCTCCTCCTCAAGCTGGTGTGAAGATATCTCTCATGCCAAGCTTGTTGAGAATGCCATGAAATGATTTGCTCCCTAGTCCCTTGGTGAGAACATCGGCTAGTTGGTCTCCAGTCTTCACAAATGGAATACATATGATACCACTAGTGAGTTTTTCCTTGATGAAGTGCCTATCAATCTCCACATGCTTAGTTCTATCATGTTGAACTGGATTATGAGCTATGTTGATTGCGGCTTTGTTGTCACAGTATAGTCGCATGGAGTCATTCAGATGGATTCCCAAGTCTCCCAACAATAGTTTTTTCCGTAGTAACTCACAGACACTTTAAGCCATAGCCCTGAATTCTGCCTCAACATTAGATCTATCAACCACACATTCTGTTTCTTACTTCGCCATGTGACTAGTTTGCCACCAACAAATGTGCAATATCCGACAGTTGATTGTCTATCAGTGACGGATCCAGCCCAATCTGCATCAGTAAGTGCCTCCACATTGAGAGAGCCATGTTTTGAGAAATAGAGACCCTTTCCAGGAGAAGATTTCAGGTATCTCAAGATTTTCATAACGGCCTTTAAGTGGGAAGTTCTCGGAGCATGCATAAATTGACTCACCACATTCATGACAATGTCTGGACATGAGTGGGATAAGTATATGAGCTTTTCCACTAGTCTCTGGTATCTCCTCCTGTCCACAGGATCTCTCTCTTGATCTTCAATCAGTTTCTGACCCGGTTCTAGAGGTGTATCACATGGTCTACCTCCAAGCATTCCAGTTTCCTTTAACAAGTCAAGTACATACTTCCTCTGGCATATGAAGATGCCAGCCTTGGACCGAGCTACTTCAATGCCCAAAAAATACTTCAAATAACCTAAGTTTTTGATTTCAAACTCCTTGGCTAAGTATTCTTTCAAACAGGGAATCTCCTCAACATCATCTCCAGTCAAAACAATATCATCAATATAGACAATAAGAGCTGTGCTCTTACCATGTGAGGAGTATTTCACAAACAAGGTGTGATCAACATGACTTTGCTCGAACCCATATTTCAACATAATTTGAGCAAACCTTTCGAACCAAGCCCTAGGAGACTGCTTTAGCCCATAAAGTGACTTTCGGAGTTTGAAGTGGCCAATCCAAATTTGCAGCAAGAGAGAGTAAGATTCTTACAAAATTCTTCTTAGCAACCGGTGCGAATGTCTCCTAGTAATCCACCCCATAAGTCTGAGTGAAGCTCTTAGCAACCAGTCTTGCTTTGTACCGTTCTATGGACCCATCTGCTTTGTGTTTTACCGTGTACACCCACTTACACCCAATTGGATTTTTTTCTCAAGGTAACTCCACTGATTCCCAAGTACCACTCTTGCTGAGAGCTCTTATCTCTTCTATCATGGCATGCTTCCATTTAGGAATAGAGAGAGCATCTTGAAAATTGGTAGGTAGACTCACAGAAGACACTTTGGACAGAAAAATTGTATATGACGAAGACAAATTAGAATAAGAGATATGATTTGTAATAGGATACTGAGTACATAGCTTAACCCCCTTCCTATTAGCAATGGGAACATCAAGATTTGAAAAATCAGGAATAGGAGCACTAGAATCAGAATTACGTAGACTCTTAGGAGAAGGGGTTGACTCTGGACACTCATCCGGAGAAGAAGTTGTTGGCAGTAGAGGAAGGAAAGTAGTCTCTTGCATCCAGGTGACTTGCTGTCTGTCCTTGTCCCGGATATAAACTTTGCCTGTTTCTTTTTCTTTAACAACTGCTGGCTCACCATCCTCTATTTGTTCAACCACGGGCGGAAGTGGAACAGGAATCTCTTCACACTAAGGCTTCCCCTGAATGGATGATTGTGAGACCGAGGAGGTCGGAAAGTAAGGCTGAGACTCAAAGAAAGTGACATCCATGAAGAAACCATTTGCGAGTGGGAGGATGATAACACTTATAACCCTTTTTGGTGGCAGAATAACCCAGAAAAACACACTTAAGGGACCTAGGATCTAATTTACCACGAGTGGGTGAATGATTGTGGACAAAGTAAACACAGCCAAATGTCTTAGGAGAAATGGAGAACCCAGAAGAGGTAGACCTGAACAAAACTTGAAGAGGTGTTTGTTTTTGCAGGACTTGGATAGGAAGACGATTAATCAAATAAGCGGCAGTGAGAACCGCTTCTCCCCAATAGGATCGAGGAACCCGCATCTCAAAGGATAGACAGCGGGCGACATCAAGGAGATAGCGATTTTTGCGTTCGACAATACCATTTTGCTGAGGGGTATTGGTGCAAGAAGTCGGTGAATAATGCCATGAGTGTGGCAAAGTAAGTGGCAATACTAGTGTCAATATATTTTCCCCCATTATCAGAACATAGAATTTGTACTACCGCCCCAAACTGAGTACAAATCATTTTATGGAAGTTTTGAAACAGAAAAAACACCTCACTTTTATCTTTCATCAGATAGACCCAAGTAGCCCTAGAACAATCATCTATGAAGGTGACAAACCATTTGTTACGAGTTAATGACACAAAACGGGAGGGACCCATACAACAGAATGGATCAAAGAAAAAGGAACTGAACTTTTATTAAGTGAAGGAGCAAAAGAGACTCTGTGTTGTTTTCCAAGTTGACAAGACTCACATTGAAAATCGGGCACATTATTTTTCTCAAAAACAAAAGGAATAAATGCTTAAGTAATAAAAAGGAGGGGTGTCCTAAGCGACGGTGCCACAGTCAAATGTCTTCCTTGGTGGATGGTAACTGAATAGATGAATGAGCCAGCATGTCTGTTTGATTCAGAATGTAGAGCCCATGTTCCTCTCTACCATTGTAATCCTCTTCCCCGTGATAAGATCCTGAAAAAGACAATGATCAGGAAAAAACGTCACGCTACAATTTAAGTCAGGGGTAATATGACTCAAAGATAAAAGATTAACATTGAAATTGGGAACATGGAGGACAGAAGACAAAGGAAGGGAAGATGTGGCATCAGCAATACGCACTTTTTCCTAACTTGGGGTGGGGTTATACTCTGAAAATAAATTAGAGGAGCCAGACATATGGTCGGAAGCACCATAATCAATAATCCATGGTACATACGTATGAGATAGCAATGCACATGGGGATGAAGCCAAGTTGCCTGAATTGTCAAAGGAAGAAGCGAGTGCACTTGTAGTAGAAGGGGAGGCTCGACGGTCTAGCAAGTAGTGAAGAGCAATCTCAAAATCCGAGGTAGATAACCCCAAAACATTAGCAGCCGATGAGACAACTGGAGATGAAGGTGGTGGCTCAACAGTGTCGGAAAGATGAGCCCGTGCATTGGCCCCTCGGCCTCTCGACTGACCAGACTGACCCCCGCAAGTATCAGGACTGTTTCCTCGGCCACCAGAAGGGGTGCCATGCAGCTTCCAACAAGTTTCTCTGGTGTGGCGAGATTTACAGCAATAGTCACAACAAAACTGATCCTTCTCAGAGGAGGGACGAGAACCATGAGGCACACCATCTCGAGGAGGGGAAACCAAGGCAGAACAATCACTAGTGACAGGAGGAAGCATAGCAGAGCGACGACTTTCCTCATTTTGCACAAAAGCAAAGGCTTCCTGGAGAGAGGGAAGAACATCCATGCCAAGGACTCGGCTCCGAATAGGATCATACTCTATATTCAGGCCTTCCAAGAACTTGAAGACCTGTTCTTGCGCTACAAATGTCCAGTAACCAGCAGAATCGGTGGGACATACAGGCTTGTAATCCTGAAAGTGATCAAGGTGCTTTCATCCATTGCTAAGGAAGATAAAATACTAGAGGATAGTCATCTCACCTTGCATCGACCTCTCAATGGAGCGACGTAACTCGAAAGCTTGTGAGAAGTTCCCTTTCCTAGAATAAGTTGTAGCTACGGCCTCCCAAATATCTTGGGCAGTGTCCATAGACAAGTAGCCCTCTCCAATCTTCGGAACCATAGAATGGATCAACCAACCCATAATTAGAGAATTGATGATCTCCCACTAGTCATAATGAGGGTCAGTAATACTGGTTGCCTGAACCCTCCCATCCACATATCCCGTCTTCCCTTAGCTCTTCAAAAAAATAGTCAGACTCTACGACCACGCGAGGAAATTCTGACCATTAAATAGAGATGTGATTTTTAAGGCCAGGGTTGAGGTTATCAGTCATAAGAGAAGGGATAATCGAACTTATGCCCTGAGATGGCTGAGATATAGTAGACTCACTAGTCAAATCTGTCATGGACACTCTACTCACTAGTCCTCAATCACCTATGAAGCACGGGTACTCCAAAAATAGTGCCGTACGAGTACTGGGTACTTACCGGGTGTGGGTACGGGTACCGGTACGGCAAAAGAAGGTCTAGTACGTTTGGTTCATTCGGGTACGACATGGGTACGGCACAGGTACGCTATGGGTACGCCGTGGGTACGCCAGGG